CGAATTGGGCCGAGCTAGGCCTTTATGAGCCTCGGTACGAAGGGCTGAGTAAAAAGGTCATAAAGTTATTCCGGTCTTGATGAGGCTTAAAGTTAGCCCGGCCTCAAGCCCAGAAGGTAGACCGGTCCGAGGGACTCTTGATGTTAGTCCGGTCGAAGGACGCTTTGTAGTTAGACCGGTTTAAGGATGCTTTGAACTTATACCGGTCATAGCGCAGTGAAACAAGATTGGTCTAAACCTTGATAAAAGATAGTTCGGTTTTGGGCATACATGGTTTGTTGAAAAACTATGGACAGAGAACCGAACTAGGTATGGTTCGGCTAAGCATAGTCGTGATTACTTCAGTCGTAAGGTAGGTCGGCCATGGAAGAACCATCTCACTTGGTTTAAGCAGTGAGGGGGGTTGAAGGATAAGCATTATCCTTCAGGAGTATGAATCCTAGGAGGACTCTGCATGGAGGAGTAAAAGTCCTACTAGGATTGTGCCACGTAAAACCTATAAAAGCTCACAAACATCACCTATGGAGAGGTAACACAACTTTGATTCTCGAATTCACCAAATGATTTGTTCAAATCAATTATTTTTGTGCATATAATGGTTTTGTTGATTTCACTTCCAATAAAATGGATCTCACGGACCGCCTGCCTCAGTGATAGTATTAGTCCGCAGCTCGGTCTTCACGTGACTCTGTTGCCTTGGAACTTAACGATAAAGTAGTTCTGCCCTCCAGCTGAGTCAGCTCGGCTGGGTCTGGCCGACACGATATTCTACATAGACCTAGCTCGGCCTAGCACTACATTCCATGCGGATCCCACTTAGCCAAACGCACCTCAGATAACCTCAGTCCAGCCCAATGACGCGTCCCAGGGTCTTCTCACCCAACACCAAATTCCATGTTGGTGAAGCTCGGCCCATTGTTCGGCACAAATCTTCCTCTCACCTTTCGTTTGCGAAGTGAGTTAGTTTTTTGGCTATTAGTTTGAAATTAAAAAGTTTATTTGGATTGAAGTTTTTGGATTTTTTGACTTTTATGAGAGAGAAAGTGAAATGCTTATGGATTCGATGTGATATTTTATCTTATTAAAATAAAAAATTTATTTTATTTTTTATAATTATTTTAACCAAAAAAACTTCAAACCTCACTTCCCAAACGGAACCTAAATGAACCGCTGTTGGTCCAACACCATTGTTGTCACATGGTTGGCTCCAAACACCAATTGGGTGCACATGTATGCATCTATATAACAATAAAAACTAGTAATAGCTATACATTCACAAGTGGGTTGTACATGAATAGGCAGTGGACCCATATTGATAATGATGAAAACTACTAGAAAAATAAATATATTTACATATATTTTTTAAATCTCCCCCAATGAATATCTTATGTATGTATGGTACTTGAGGAACATATGTTTGAAAGTTGTTTTTGTGAATAACAACAAATGATCAAAGGCAAAAGAACAATCATGAAGTTGACTGAGTTCCAGCGACAGCTAACAAAATCATCATCAACATATGGGACTCTTTGATGTCCCAATAGTGTAAGTCCTATTTTGACAATTAAGGGGAAAAAAAGTTAATTTTTTTAACTTTTTTTAAATATATAAAAAATAAAAAAATTTGTGTGATTTAAATAAATCAATAAGTCAATAAATTAATTTTTTTTTTTAATCTAATTGTCAAAATAGACCTAACTTCACAATGTCATTTACCTTAATTTTATTCTTAACAAAACAGATTTGAAGTGGTCATTAATTAATCAACTATGAATTTGTTTGACATGTTTTTTGAGATTAAAATAGTCATATAAGATAAAATATGTTATTTTAGTCAAATAATACAAAATATTACATCTAACTTATAATCATTTTATTTTTTCTCTTATAAAAATTAAAAAAAATTTAAAAACTATCCCAAAAAAAAAAATTTAGCCTTAAGATAAAATAACGAAAAAGTCAAAATATCAAAAAATTAATCCACACCCTAAACGAGCTCTATATTTGTTATCAACGATCTACGAGTATACATTGCAAAACTTGGCCAAGGTTCAGATTCCAGCCCCTCGTTTGGGATAATTTATAAAAGTTAAAAAATAAAAAAAATTACTAATCCTGGAGGGCAAAATTGTATGAGAGAAGTTTGTGGGGGAGAAATTTAGAGGATAAAATTATTAGGAAAAATTACATATAAAAATTGTATGAGAGAAGTTTGTGGGGAGAAATTTAGAGGATAAAATTATTAGGAAAAATTACATATATCCTTCTCGAGGTTTGGCTAAATTACAGATACTCTCTGAAGTTTGAGAAATTACAAATTTTCTCCTGAATGTTATATTTGCATAACAAATTAGGGGGTAATTTGTTATGAAATATAAACCTCAGGGGACAAATTATTATGAAAATACAAACCTCAGGGGACGGGATGTAATTTCCGAACCCTCAGGGGTATCTGTAATTTAGTCAAACCTCGAGGGGTGTATATGTAATTTGCCCTTAAAAAATCAAACAGTCACTAAAAACTTAAAAAGTCATATAAAAAAGTCAAAATTCTTTATCATTTTCTCCACATTTAGCATATTCTTTTATAAAAAATTAAAAAGTCATTCTCAAATACTTTTCACCTCATATTTTAGCCAAAAAATTCTTTCTCAAATCAACCCTACATTTGTGCACACTTCTGACCAACTTTATATAGACTCAAGTATATGCCTTGTGTGATGTGCAATCAATCATGTAGCATTGGTCAATTTTTCAAACATTTTAAAGACAATAATTAATTTCATTCAAGTTGTTAACAAAGTACTCATTTTAAGGATTAGTGGCTTACACATAAACAGTAACCACAAACGTTCTATATTAAAGTAATCCTAAACAAGAATAACAGTTTTTATGGGAGCAGCTTCCCTTAAAACTCTATCCCTTTATATTCTCTCAAGATTCTATTTTGTGGGCTCTATGACATTCGGAATTCAGAATGATAATTTAAATCGTTCATTTTGTATGTCTCAAAAATAAGAATACATATGTAAAAATTAACTTGCTTAGACATCAATAGACAAACTAACTAATTGTATTTTGTTTTATATTGATGTCCGATCAAATTAATTTTTTGTATATATATTCTTTTTTACTAGCCTTACTAGTTGAACAGTTCGAATCACTGTTGTGGATTTCGTGAAGCGACAAAATGGAGTCTTAAGAAAGTACAGAAAAAAATGAAATCTTAAAAGGAGTTGTTCCAATTTTTATGGCCCAAAATTATAATGTAAGATTTGGTATCGACTAATTATAGATACATAAACATAGTTTGTGATTCCAAATTTGTTACGTTCCTATCTCCTCCCTATCCTAATAAATATGAAATTTTATGTGAATTTATATTAAAATGGAGATTTTAATTTTCGTACATAAAATTTCAAACACATCATGAAAAATTAAAATCAATGATTTATAATTATTAAGTGTTTAAAGTTTTTAAATTTTTTTCAATATTTATAACCATATTATTAGATTTTGAAATGAATATCTCAAATGTTAACATTTACTGACACGGAAGTATATGTGACGAATCTGAAAAAATATTTGATTATTCAAGAGCCTCATATAATAATACCTTTCACCAATCATTAATTATTGGGTAAATTATAAATACTCTTTGTGAGATTTGCTTAAAATACAGATTATCTCCTGTAGTTTGAAAAATTACAAATACTCCTTTATTAGAATTTTTTATTTAATAAAATTAATTAAAAAAATAAAATTACTAACTGCTCTTCTACATAATAATAATAATAAAATTATTTGAATTATTAATTAAAATAAATTTTTGACATCATTAAAAATTATTAATTAGTTTGATAATTTATTAACAAAAGAGGTTATTTGTTATAAAAATAAAAATTTCAATAGACAGAATATAATTTTTAAAATAATATAAAACAATTCATATTTTAAACAAATTTTAAAATATATATTTATAATTTACTCTATAAAATTTGTTAATTTGATCAATATTTCTCTACCTAATAATCTTGAAATTTCGAAGCGACCAGAAACATGAGCGCACTTTATCGCAATGACAGCTGACATGTCATAGCCATATTTGAGCTGCAACGTGTTCCAATCAGAGTCAAAAAGATTTCCAAACAAGTAGTATTTAAAAAATTTTAAGCCGCCAACTAACGGCCTCACTCACTACACATGTCATGAACCCTGAAGCCTCCAATAGTGCAACCACTACAATACAACCCACCAATCACAATTTTCAATAAGTCAGTTCAACTCTCACTAGCTTTTATAAATTTTTTAGAGTCGTGTTTATGGAATTTGTTTGAAATTTATCCGATTTATGTATTTTATATGAGTTTCGAGATTAGTCTAGATGGACGTAAATTGACCTAAAAATCTAGTCATTCAAAAAAAAAAATTTAGTTTATTTGGTTTTAGTTTTTTAAATTAATTTTTTTTAAAATTGAATTTTTTATTTTTCGTGTTTTTTTTTGTTTTTAGTGAATATTTTTAAAATTTTAAATATTTTTTATATTTTTTTAGATGCATCTTACGTAGATATATCTAAAAAGTAAAATATTTGTAAAAAAATATTTTAAAAAATTAATAAATATACAAAAATATGAAAAATGTATTGAACTTTCGTATTTTTGGTATTTAGTAAATTTTTTGAAGATTTTTTTTACAAAAATTTTACTTTTTAAGTGTATTTATATTAAGTGTGTCTAAAAATTAAAAATAATTACTTAAAATAATAAAAAAAAATTTAGTAAAAATAAAAAAAATACGAAAAATAAGAAAGTAGATTTTTTTGAAAGTTGTAAAACTCAAGAAAAGTGAATAGTACTTCTACGGTTAACCCCAACTTTTTAACCCTCCACGTGGCATAATAGCCAAGTGACACATGCCGAGTGCAACAATCAAAACTGTCATCATTTGCAGAACCCAAAAAATCATCCAACTACCGTTCTTCCCTCACCCCCTGGAAGTCTCAAACAACGTTAAAATCAAAACACAGCCAGAAGCTTTGACACCAATCATCATCATCATCTTCACCTTATTTTAATTGTTGACAACAAAAGTTTTCTCACTAGATCTTTGTTGTACCCATTTATTTAATAATTACCCAATTGTGAATGCTAAATTCAGAGAAAACAACTAGCAAAAAATGGCCATCTCTGAAACCTTCGCATTCCTCCTCTCTCTACCCACTTCCTCATCAATTCTCAACACGGACACTGTCATTGCCGTTACGGTGTTCATCACACTCCTCTGCGCTTGCATTGTCATCGGTCACCTTCTTGAAGAGAACCGGTGGGCTAATGAATCAATCACAGCTCTTCTTCTGGTTTGTATAGTCAATAATTGAGATGGGTTTCAACAAGTTTGGCCTCTTTGTGTGTTTTTTGATTCACATATCTAATATTATGTCTATGGGGGTTAGGGTTTGGCAACTGGGTTAGTGGTATTGTTGATCACTAAATGCCAAAGCTCGCGCTTACTGGTCTTCAGTGAAGATCTTTTCTTCATCTATTTGCTTCCTCCAATCATTTTCAATGCTGGGTAACATTTCTTTCTCTCTTCTCTGCACAGATATATACATATATGTATGGAATTTCTTTAGCCAAGAAAGTTTGGTGAATCCATGGATATAATGGATTTTGTTCTCACTGTAGTATACTTTCCACCAAGTGTTTGAGATGTTACCTCTTTGTAAATCTAGTTAAAAGTGTGACTTTTTATTTTCCCTTTAATTGTGATTAGCCTTGGGTTTTAATCTGTTGAATTCATGTTTGGTTATAGTTTCCAGGTGAAGAAAAAGCAATTCTTCAAGAACTTCTCAATAATATTGATGTTCGGAATATGTGGCACAATAATATCATTCTGTCTCATATCAGTAGGTAAGATTTGTAATTGCTTGAGGTTGTTTGTGTGTGTGTTTCTATCTAACTTTGTTAAGCACAGTTTCATCTATTCCCAAATTACATGACTTCTTTTCGATCTCCAATATCAAATCACGACGCATTCTAATCCATATCTTTACTCTGGACTGTTTTGATGCCCTCCGATGTTTGAGACAATCATGCTTATTTACTATGTCATAGTCCAAATTATGATATTTTGATAAAAAAAGAGGATCTTGGGAAAAAAATTTACTATGAAACTGATTCGAAGATGGCTGATTTTCAGTTGTATTCCCAGATTCCACTCCAAATCCAATATAGAAAGGGCAAAATAGAAAGAAAAAAGACAACAAAATTGAGAAACAAGTGAATCAAGCCATTTGGCCTAGTGGTTGTGTTGCACCACGTGTGAATTTGTAGGTTCAACTCCTATGGAGATGAGTTTGATACTTATAGTGTGTATTTTCTCTCCCCATTATGGGGTTTTGTTTGGAGAATTGTCTTTTTTTTCTCAAGTTTTGGCTAATAGCGATTGTTAGGCTAGCAGCCAGTTTGATATAGTACTTGTCATATTTGTAATTGTTTGATTTTGGAAAAAATGTAGTTTCAGAGTTTTGGCATAATTACGTCCGACTCTCTTAAAACTTTAATTTACGTGACTCTTAGAAGGTGTTTGGTATAACTTATACAAGTCTATTTATTTGAGTCACATCATTTCTCTATTTTTTTGCACAACTTTTTGTAAAAAAATTAAAAAGTATAATTTTTTAGATCATCTCAAATACCCCGTTAGTCTCATTTTCATCAACAATTCATTAATTATATGGATGGAAAAATAATGTTATATTTTTTACACTGAAATATATATTTTATTTTATTTTATCTTCTATTAATTTTTTGGTCCCTTTTTAAACTTACTAAATGGGAAATCAGTGTAATTATATCAAAATTATGGGACTACTTGTATTTTCTCCAAAATTTACTAAAAATAACGTTAGGATAATTACTATTAGCGTAATTTACCCACAAACATAAACAAAACAAACAATTTGGTGGAGAGTGGAGAAATATCAGATGCAAGGTTTCAAAAAACGACGTTACATAACGGTTGTGGCCGTTACGAAACGGTTGCGATGGTAGGCGCTACATTACATCCGCTTGTGCGATGTGACGGAAATTCGCATGTGTAACGGCCGTAACAGTACTGTAGCAGCCTGTTATACACCGTTACACACTTTTATAATATTCTGAATAATTTCATTTCCAACAAAAAAAAAATACCAAAACAAAACAAAACTTTACAAAAAAAAAAAAAAAGATAAGATAAAAACAAATACTCAAGCTTAAAAAAAAAAAAAAAAACTTGTATGAATTTTTTTTCTTTATAATTTTTTTTTAAATTTTTATTTCATTACATTAACATGTAAAATAAAAAATATATATATAAATAGTGGTTGTATTTATTTTCATAATTATTTCATTTAATATTTAATTGTAAATATTTTTTTATTTTGTTACCTTAATGTGTTGCCTAAAATTAGTAGCTCAAAAATAAATAAAATCAGTAGCTCAAAAATAATTTTTGTTTATGGCACAATTTTTATTTTTATAATTGTTTCATTTAATACTTAATTGTAAATAATTTTATTTAGTTAGCTGTAAAATATTGTCTAAAAAATATATTTTAAAAAAAAATCAATAGCTCAAAGATAATTTTTGTTTATGGTACAATTTTTATTTTTATAATCATTTCATTTAATAATTGTAAATAATTTTTGTTTAGTTAGTTCAGGTACTGGTAAAAAATAATTTTGTAGACATTTTAAATCAATTATTCTTAAAGTCATTAACTATTGAAAGAAAATGTAAAAAACTCATTTTATAGTGATTTAAAAATAGGAAATATATTAGATCATATTTAAAAATTAACAAAAAATGATCAAAATCTATTTTAAACCTCAATAAATGTGATTTTGGAGGGAAAAAAAAAAATACGTATCAGTAGGTTTTTCAAATTGTGCAAAAAAAAAGAAAAAAATCACAAGTTACTGCAACCATTCCACTATGGCTTTTATACTCATAACCACAACTGCGCGCCACAATCATTACGGTGACCGCAACCGCTTTTTGAAATCTTGGTTGGGCTTTTAATTTTTTTTTTTTTGCATTTATGTTTTCATGCATTACTCATTAAATTGTTATTTTACACTACTTTACTATACCGAATAAAATTCAACAGAGTCTAATGTGACTGTGGTTTTTGTGGAAACTGTAGGAGCCTATTGGCTATTCAAATGGATTGGTGTAAAATCCCTGGAAATTAAAGATTACTTAGGTGACCTCTACTCATTTTTTAATTGAATTTTCAGTACTGGTCTCTATTCATTCCTAAATATTGATTGTCTTGAGCATCATTTACTTGCAGCTATTGGCGCCATACTCTCAGCAACCGACTCAGTTTGTACATTGCAGGTACATTCCAATATCTAGTCCAAAAACCATGGATTTATAGTGGAATACTGAAACATACTGTTAATTTGTGATCTTTTTTTCTGGTGTTAAAGGTCCTGAATCAAGATGACACACCCTTCCTTTACAGTGTTGTCTTTGGCGAGGGTGTTGTGAATGATGCTACCTCTATTGTGCTTTTCAATGCAGTTCAATCTCTTGATGTCAGGAATGTTGACTTTTTGACAGCCTTGAAATTGTTGGGAACCTTCTTATACCTCTTCTTCACTAGTACTGCTCTTGGAATAGCAGTAAGTTTTAATACTGCAAAGTTATAATTATAAATGTTGATTATTTCAAGGTTTGGCATTTTACTATTCTGCAGCCTAGACTCAAATATATATAGCTCAAACTTTGTTCCAAATACTGTATTTAAAATTAGTGTTAATGGGAAATTATCGCCTTTTGACTAGCTTTTCGTGCATTTCAGGTGGGGCTTTTAAGTGCATATACCATAAAGACACTTTACTTTGGAAGGTACAATGATGGGTTTTAGCTTTTTCTTCCCATCCTCTAGTGTTATATTGGCTGCTCAGTAGTCCTTTATATTTTTAGCACAAAGAGAAAAGGATGTCATATTTGTTTTTTTATGGAAAACGTTTGGTAGCTCAAAATCTTGTGGTTCAAATGGCTCAAAACGACGTCGTTTTACACTCATTTACATCCAAAACGATGTCGTTTTGAGTGATTTGAGCCATTTGAGCAACAAAATTTTGAGCTACCTAGCATTGTTGTTTTTTTATATCCAATTGCAAAAGTCTTACTTTGATATGAAGTTAAGAAAAATGAAATGGAACTTCTAACAGAACTGATGATGAAAGTGTAAAAAACAGTTCGCTTGAAAATAGGAGATGAATCAAATTTTACATGTGATGTGGTTTCATAGGGGGTTAGTCACAGTTGTATAGAGTCATATAAGGAAAAATTATACCAACAAAAAATAGTCGAATGTATATAATACTAACCTTTATTTCATTGAACCATCATTGTCATCGTTCTAAGCCTGGACTATATCTAGTATCGTTTGATTTTTATGTTGACATCGTTGTTCTTTCTTAACAGACATTCCACAGATCGTGAAGTTGCAATCATGATGCTTCTGGCCTATTTGTCATACATGATAGCTGAGGTACCAAAGCATTCTAAAGAAAAAAAATAGAAACTATATATATCCTTTAAAATTCTCCCCATAACATTCAAGAAAAATGATAATTTTGGTTATTATATTGTTTGTCTTGAATAAAAAAATGTGCAAGTAGACATTTTTATATTTTTTTCTACAACTTAGACCACTTAATAATCACCATTTGTTGTTTTTCAAGGACATTCATAGCTCTCATCTCTGCTTCAGCTGGTGTTGAAGTCTTGAATCTTTGATTGAGTTAAAAGTGAACATGCTATTTCTTTTATATTTTCATGCCAGAGAGGTGGTTTACGAATTTGAATAATTGAAATTTCCTATGACAGAAAAAGAAATGAATTTGGTTAAAGTAAGTTGGAAAAAGGTTGTTTACCAATATGAAGAAACTTAATGTCGTAACCTTTGGCATAAAAGGATCGATTCAGATATTTTATTTCATTTTTCTTTTCTGGATGTTTAAAAATGGTTTTGATGATCATAAGCACATTCCATGTGTTGGAGATTTCTTGAAAAATGATAGTATATACGTTTCATCTTGCAGCTGCTATCTCTTAGTGGGATTTTGACAATTTTCTTCTGTGGCATTGTCATGTCGCACTACACATGGCACAACGTTACTGAAAGCTCGCGGCTAACAACCAAGTAAGGATATTTCTCATTTCTATACATTTACACATACTAACATCTGATACGTCATGCATGTTTCACTTTGAAAACCGTTCATAGGTAATCAAAAATATAATAAAAAAGGCCAATATCAATTGATGCAAAAGTGAATTGTGTAAGTTACTGGTCAGGTGACGTAGCGCCAAAAAAGGAAAAAATAAAACAAAAACAAAAGAACAGTAGCAGGTTCTATCAATCTAAGAAAACATGAGGATGGCAATAACTCATTAGAACAGAGGCTAGATGACCATGGAAAATTTGGGAATATTCAGTTACTTGCAAGTATAGAATCCAAATTACTTGGTGTTTACAGATGGATACAGTGCACCACAAGCAAAATTACTTATTTATGGACAATAATATTGTTCACTCAAAATAACATTAGTAAAAGAAAAAATGAAAAGAATCTATAAGCAGATTCTGATGGCAATGTTGTCATTGATTCTGATTCATTGTTGTGTCAATCAAAAGCAACCCTACTAGACCAAAGGGTTGGCCTAGTAGTTGAGGTGCTCCCCTTGGGAGGCATGATGCCCAGGTGCAGCTTCCTCTTTTCCTGTTCCTCTCCTACTGCTGACCAAAAATGACAAAATAATAAAATAAAAATTACAAAACAGAACAAACCTACTGTTGTATGGAAGGTCAGATAACTAGAAAAAATATTTTGGTAAATACATGCTAATAGAAAACACAACTCAATAAGATCAATCCATTAAATAATTACATAAGCCCAACAAATACTTCATTTTCACTGTGCAATTTATTCCATGTTTTAGTTAGCTGTGTGTCTCTTTCCTTTTGTTTGTTGTTCTGTAATGCTAGATCCTACGAGTTTAATAAGCTTGATCTGGTGCTGATAGAGATAGGAGGTCTTTGATCTTTGTCGACGAATGAGAAAGATGAATAGTTCTAACTTTACTTTGTTTGATAATATCAGGCACGGGTTTGCAACTATTTCATTCATTGCAGAGACTTTCATATTCTTGTATGTCGGTATGGATGCATTAGACATAGACAAATGGAGACAAAGCAAAGCAAGGTAATTGCACTAATCCGATTTTCACTGAAATCTAGTAGTCGAAAACCAATTGTTGACAAGGGCTTTAATTGATGATGATGACATGGGGGTATACAAAGGTTATACTTATAGGAGACATAACCACATCACAATTAAATCACATAAATAATGTTTTGAGATGACTGACAAATTATTTTAATACAAGACTTGAATAAATGACAAACACTTCCAATTCATCTAAATTGGTTCATACTCTTTGTTTCAGTGCATCAACTTCAGTTGCCGTCAGTTCAACTTTCTTCGCACTAGTGTTGGTTGGGAGGGCCGCATTCGTGTACCCTCTTGCGAATATTTCTAATTGTTTTAAAAGAAGAGACAGCAGCAAAATTGCTTTAAAGCAACAGGTGAGATTTGAGGGCATCTAAGCACGTATTGCTGTCATTTGATTTTCAAGCTTCGCTAACTATTTTGAAATGTCAGTTTATTGTATGGTGGGCAGGCCTAATGCGAGGTGCAGTTACTGTTGCTTTATCTTACAACCAGGTACATAATATATTTTCCAGTTCCTAAATTTCTTTATTAAGATGTGTAGGTTTTGACTGATTATTGATGTCATAATCTACTTTTACAGTTTTCTTCTAGCGGGACAGATTCGCCTGAGCGTTCTCTAATGATTACAAGTACAATAATTGTTGTTCTGTTTAGTACAGTGGTAAGTAAGCTAAATGGTATTTTCTTAGTTTTTGCTAAACTTAGAAGTTCAATCATAAAGCTGACCGCCCCTGAACTTTCAATGCCTTTTTTTCTTAATATAATCAAACTACACACTTCCTATAGGTAGAATTTTGGGTTTAGTTACACAAATGCTCTCCAAATACGCATTCTATTATAGTTTAGTCTCTAATCTTTTAATTGATCTATTACACTTTAGTCCTTAGTATTAGCACCATTCCAGTCAGTAACAGAAAAGGGGGTATTTTCAATATTTTGCAAAAAGAAGGAAAAAAAAAGAAGCTAAACTAAAAGATTGGCGAATGAATGCAGGAAAGTGCACACTTCAGACACTAAAATGAAGCAAAATGCATATTTTAGGAACCAAGATGATAAAAAAATACATACTTGAGATCATGCGTGTATTTGGTTATTTTGATTTTATTGATGTTCATGTAAAATTTGAAAAACATCCCTCCTCTGCTTACCCTTTTTAAACGGCTTTGACAGAGGAACTAAAGCGTAATAGATTACATATTTTAGGGACCAAAATTAAAATTTTAAAAGATTGAGGACTAAAGTGTAACAAAACGTATACTTAAGGGTGAGTATAATTAACCCAAGAATTTTTACATTCTTGAATATCAATGTGTAACTTATTTATTGAAACAGGTGTTTGGTTCAATAACAAAGCCTCTGATTGAAGCATTGCTGTTAAGACATGCAAAGCCAACATCAGTTTCAGATGTAGGTGATTTTGCAAGCCTAGAAGACTTGAGGCTTTTATTCCTCGAAAATGGAGATCCGACTGATAATGGCAGCGGCCAAACAGTGCCTAGGAGAAACAGTCTAAGGTTGTTAATTGCACACCCTTCTTCTACAGTTCACTACTTTTGGAGGAAATTTGATGACAGGTTTATGAGACCGGTTTTTGGTGGGAGGGGCTTTGTTCCATTTGTTCCAAGCTCACCAACTGGTGCAGCTGATGAAACTTCTTGAATTAGAAGATCAACAACAATATACGTTTTTAATTAATTTTCTTTTCATACATATATAAGAAGAAGAAGAAGAAGAAGAAGAAGAAGAAGAGAAGTATGAGGAAGGTATACAAGCCGCAATTGTGTACAGTAGAGTTGATTTTATTTTTTGAACACTTTTTCCATAAAGATTATGTAGTTTACTCTTGAATAAATGTAAGTGTATGTTTTCATTTGCAAAGTTCTTAGTAAATGTTTCTCCGCCAAGTTATGTTTATAGCTCGTTCATAAATTCACTCAACCACCTAGACTTAAAAGAGGTTCAATAATTGGTGAAAAGTCAACGCCTATAGGCCATATGATATTTGGTTCAAGATTTAATAATTTTTTATGATAAGGATATGTTTAATGAAATTGTTTGGTGAGAATGACAAATTATTATTTTGAATAATTTTTCTTTTTCCAATTTCACCCCACTGCCACTAGACTATTGTTGAACCGTCATTGGCCAGTCACCAAAAAGTTTTTTAGAAAATTCACTGTTGCCGGAAAATTTGGCAGAGGTGGACAGTGGCGACCGTTGGTGGTGGTGATATGGACAAATAAATAGATTATGTAGACAAATAGGTGACATATAGAAAAATAGGAAGACGACACATGGATGGATATATAACACTTAAATAGATAAGTGAATAGATAGATATATGGGTAGAAGTAATATGGTCTCTCATATTATTATTGTTATTTTTTATCCCGAAAGAATAGAATTTGAGGCTATTATATTCCAAAAGTTTTGAAATTGAACACATAGCTCAAGTACCATTCCTTACTAATAACAATGAGTTCATGTTCCAACTTCTCGCCTTTTTTACTTTTAGGGAATCAGTTTTTTTACTGAATTTTTACAAGAAGACGTGCAATTTTTTTTTTTTTGTAACTTTTTGGTTAAAATTGTAACTTCTCAAAATAAGCCTTAATATCGGCTCCAAAATCCAACATACATACAGATTTAGGAGAAGAAAGTCATGTTTTTCCAAGCTACTATGGGTTAGTTGCATCATCTTAATGCATGAATGGCAAATCTTGGGGATAAAAGTAGTAAAGCTACCAGCAGCTCGAATCACAATCAGTAAATGATATAAATCACCCAGGTTTAGATCATCTTCAATCCTTCTTTTCTTTTCTTTTTCTCCATCAATTTAAATTTAATGAAAAAGTACATAAAAGTCACCTCTAATTTTTCATTAAATGTTCATCAAATTAGGGGAGTCATTTATTTATTTATTTTATCAAAATGAGAATTTACCAAATCCTTTATCAAATATGAATTTGATGAAAATTTAAAAAGATAAAATATTAGGGATTTTTTTCCCCATCAAATTTAATGAAAATGAAAATTTGGGATAACATAATAATTTTTTAGAATATTTAATGAAAATATTAGAATAGTTTGTATCAAATCAAATGTTGTACTTAAATTGGTTAAAAAATTGATAAAGGATTGAAGATCGTCCTTAGGAATAGAGAATAGGAATAATCATGATAGTCAAATGAATAACGTGTAAAAAAAAAAAAAATTTTAAAAATTTGGTTGTCATTTGAGTTACTTCTACCCTAACAATTTAAAAAATTAATTAATTAATTAATAAACACCTTCTTTTATGAGAAATTATTCAATATTAAAGTAATGCTCTATATTTTATTTCTTCCAAAATTCTAATAAAAGTGATACGGGCGGGACTGTTTGGAGTGTCTTAAATAAGTGTATTTTTTATTTTTTTGAACTAAAAAATTGAGAAAAAAATATGGATGCTTGGGTTAACTTTTTGTCTTTTTATAAAAAAAAAGTATAATAAAAAATTGTATAAAGAAAGTGTATAGTCAAAGAAAGATGAGTGGTTGTACGGCTGCACTACTGTCCCAGCATGTCGTACCCAGAAAATAATTGCCTCCTTCGGGATAAAGTGTTTGGACAATGATGGTCGGTCCGTGGGGCCACCATGGGTCCTATTTTAATAATCTGAACCGTTAATATGTACAACTCGTCGAGTATTATATGCTTGTAAAAAATCACATTGATCGGATATCGATAACTATATGATCAGATTAGTTTTTTTCAACAATTAACTACCATACCATTCGTTTTGTTTATACAAAACTGATTTGTTCATATAGTGGGTGTTTGGGAAGTGAGTTTTTTTATAGGTTTTTTTAGTTGTAGGATATTATTGGAGAAATTTTTTTTTGTGTTTGAGAAGATAGTTGGATTTTTTTGTGGATGGATGTGATGTTTGTGAGAGAAAAAGTGAAATTATTATGGGATTTGATGTGATATTTTGTTTGGATTTGTTTTTTTTGTTTGTTTTGTAAAACATTTGTCTTGTAGTAAAAAAAACAAAAAAAAAAATTCAAAAACCAAGTTCCTAAACACTCCCATAGTTAACGATATCCGATTAACGTGATTTTTACAAGAATATATTACTCGACTAGTTCTACATATTGAACAGTTCGGATTATCAAAAAGGAACTCTTAGTGGCCCCCCAAGGGCCTAACATTACCATCAAACTTTGTGGTTTTACCTATGTAATTTTTTTTAGCCCAAAAAGTGTATAATGGCCTTCCTGCTTCACAAGTACAACTGACAGCATTCATTAAACTTTTGTATTATAAAAATATATAAAATATTTTTTTAATTTTTTTATTTATAAATAGTAATGACTTTTTTATTTTTTTGTAACTCTTTAACTTTTTAAATTATTTTAGACTTGCCAAACCAACTCTTAGACCAGTAACTCCTCGTTTGGAACACCATCTAAACTAGTTAACAATTTGGAAAATGCTAGGGATATTAAATTTTCTACCAAATAAATGACCAAATGTCTCACATGGGTGTGGGGTCCGCAATTTTGTGGGCCCCACACCCATGTGAGACATTTGGTCATTTATTTGGTAGAAAATTTGGGACCTCTAGCATTTTCCTAACAATTTCTCCTTCTTTAAGGTGACATGCTGACGTGGCAATCATCCGGCGAGTAATCATCAACTTCGGAATAGTGGCGATGCACCCTATACTTATTCTTAAACCCTTTTCAAAACCCAATTGTTCGATTTTTGCTCTCTTCATCAAGATGGCTTTGGGGCGATTGCAGAAAATTCGAAATCTATATGGAACGTTTGAAGTTGGAAAATTTTCTTCCCTGTAAGTTCATCATCTCTATATTAGTCCTCCGTTTGCTTGCTGAGAATATCGAACAAAATAAAAAGAAAAAAAAAAAAAAATTAATAACAATATAAGAGCTAGCATTTCTATTTGCATTGCTTTTCCTGCATTTTCTCAGCAACCAAACGCTACTTTAAGGTTTCATTTTGGAATCTTGAAATGTCTTGTTATTAAAACTATTGTTTGAATTTTCAGGTTTGGAAGCTCAACAAGCTATTCAGATGTTATTGTGAAAGGTAAAATTGCCTATATATATATATATATACCACACGTGTCTTCACATTTGTGCATCTCTTTATACACATCATATATCGGTTTCGAACTGAAGTTATATGAAAAGTAGGTTAAATTGAGTTGTTTCATCTTGTGGTGGAATTCTAATTGGTTGAACACAGTAAAAGAAATCATTTTTTTGAGTGAGTTTAGCGGATTTGGTAATGTCATTTAGCTGGGCGAGAATATCTTGATGTGGGCCACTGAGTTTTTTGCATTTGGCTAAGGAAAGTTTGGGAATTTAGAGTGTGCAACGCTTGTGTGTAATCATGTTAATTACAAAATAGGATTTGAAATTTAATTTATTTTGTCAAGAATTCACTGAGTTATTTCATGTTGTGAATTTTTGATTGCTGGATTTTTTAAAAAAGCTTTTGTTATGTCCGATGCGTACAGTCCATAATTTGGTCTAATGAAAGTGTGTAATTAGTCATGTTATTTTCTATGTGATCAGATCTGAAGTACTGGAGAGAATCTTCTTTCTTATACAAGGGTCACAACTCTGTTCCTTGGAATAATGGAAGTATGAGGACACTTCATTCTTTTAGAACTTCCCCTCCAAATTCCATCACTCTTATTTCTCAAAGTATCTAGGAGTATAACATGAAATGTTTTTCATTTGGCTTCCTCTGTGATCAGTTCCTGAAATTAATTATCGGAGCATTTCTTCTTGCTTATACAAGTGCAACCATGGTCTTCCTTGGACTTCTACAAATACAAAGGCACTTCGCTCTACGATGGTAACTTTCTGAATCACAAAATTGAAATCCACTATGCTGTATATGCCAATTTATCTCTTATATATCTTTCACCAATATACCTGCTGGTTCAACAGCTTAGCTGTACCTGTTTTGGTCTTACTTCATTAACACCCACTACCCCCCTAAAACCATGCACGCGCATACACACACACACACATGCGCGCGCGCGCACACACACACACACCCCTGAATAAAAAAGAAAGATTAAAAACTGCTTATATTAATATTTATTTTTTTGCAAGAGCTTTCATTCTTTTATTTTTTAGGTGGACAGACTAGTGTTATGAATTTTTTTTGTTTTTGTTTTATTGTTTTTGTCTTTTTTCCAACCCACTAAATGCATTTTTTTTTTTTTTGGCTAAAATATCAAGTTCCTTTCATTTTTCTGTTTATAGGCTGCTGAGTCATATGTTTCCATGGGTGACATAAGGTTGGTAACAACGCAAGCAAAAGCCCCTCCTCAAGCACGGCAGATGGTGTGATATATTTCTCTCGAAACTTTTTGTTCCTGCATAAATGGGGAAGTGGTTTATGGTTGTTAGTTAATTGCATTATTGTATACCTGCAATACCTATATACTTCTACATGATGAATCTTTGGATGAGTAAAAGAGTTTCATTGGCATCACAAGAAAGTGTTCACTTTCCATACGTCCAACATGTATGGAATCATACATGGGCTTAACGGGCTTTTCTTTTTAAAAATAATAGACTCCAGAGAATCAGGTAAGTACTGTCTTGTGTGGGTAGAAATACCTTTGTTTAGTCCTATAATACTTTTATGTATGCATGTGCAATCTTTATATCATTTCCCAATCAACAACAATTCCCACCACTTTTACTCAAATCCTCATCATCTTGCACACCACTTCTAACATTATTTTGCACACATAAACCACTGAATGGCTTGTGGTGGGGGGGTAACTTGGTGTGTGTGTGAGAGTTTGTGTGTGTGTGTGTGTGTGTATGTTAAGAGAGATGAGAGACAAAGGAAGATGGTAGAGAGGGGGGGTGGAGGTGGTGGAGGCATTGTTGGTGTGGTGGCAATTTTTGTTTTGTGTGGGGATGTGGGAGAACAAGAGAAATCAATTTGATCAGATCTGTGATATGGTGGGCTAGGATGAAAAAGTGGTTGAATGGTTTGCATTTCACGGCTTACATAGAGATGAAGGGGGAGGTCGAGGCGGTGATGGTAGGATTCTGGTAGTGATGGGGTGGCAATTGTGGCGTGTATAGGTGTGTGAGTTAGAGAGGTCAGATGAAAGATGGGACAGAGGGAGGCGGGTGTGACAATGGTGGAGTTCCTGTGGCTCTAGAGGCAGTGGAGGTGGATGGTAGTTGTTGGGATGGTTGTGTGTGCAGAGAGAGAAAGAGAGAGAGAGTAATGGTGGGTTGGGCCTTCCAAATATTAGGACGATTATACTTGTGTGAGAGAGAGGAAGAGATCACATCATATTTTGTAATTTGATGCGGTCTTAATGGTGGTATAAGTTTTGATCTGATGTGGTTAACTTCAACCATCTTACGAAAGACAATGATGTGGCAAATTTTTTATTAGTTCTAAAAGATTATCATTTGTTAATGGGGGACTTACGTATATGTCCTAATAGATGGACATTTTTTCCAATAGGTCTTATGATAATTAATGACATTTTTCATCAAATACTATTAAAAAATGTCAATAATTGTTAATTTTCAGCAACAATTTGAAAATTGTCATAAAAAATGTCACTAACTATAAGTTTTAGTAATAGTTTAAAAAAACTGTCACAAAAAAATCATTAATTTTCAACTTTTAGCGACAATTTGAAAAATTTGTCACAGAAAAACATCACTAATTGTAAGTTTCAATGGCAATTTATAAAAATTGTGAGAAAAAAAATCACTAATTGTCAATTTTTAACAACATGCAAAAAATTGTCAGAAAAAATTATTTTTAGCGGCAATTTTATTAGGACTTATTTTCAATAGGACTTGATGGGAATTAAGTTCAACTATTAGGACCTATTGGTAGTTTACCGTTTGTTAATTTGCATAAAGGGATATAAAATATCTTATCTAAAGTTAATGATACTGAAGCATGTCTCTCATGTGTTCAGAGCATGGCTGGCCCTAAAACCATTGAAAAATAATAGGATACATCTGAATGCTTGTCCAACATGTGTTGAGTGTCCCAACAAGAACACAACACCTTCGTAGAAGTGTTTAGGCTTCTTAGCTCAAGGGCTAGATTTTGTATTTAAATCTGTAAGGAAGGGTCATTACTTATTTTCAGAAAGAAAGTACCAATTGAGAAAATGCAGCCTTGCTTATCCTTCTTCCTATTTTTGTTATTGTCATGTTTTCTATCTAGTTTTGTGCACTAGAAACATTGGTCAGATGTTATTAGGAAACAATTTACTTGAAATCCTCATTATGGTGGAAAACTGATTTAAATGTATGATATGATCTCACACTTTCGAGGTTAACCTCAAACTCCTTTAAAATGCAGGATGATGCATCTTAGATCCCTAAGGCACCTTAGAGTTTGGGGTGATCTCTTACTAGATTCCTTTGTGTAAATTCATCATATTGTATTTAAATGTTGACATCTACTTGAATGCAATGATGTAATAGTTTATGTGGGACTGCATCAAGCAAATACATGACGTTAAGGATCTCCTTTTTTCAATGCCACTTTAAATTTGTTGCAAGTATGCAATAGAATACATCTCGGCATTTTCCTGTCCTGCATATGCTTCTGTTTTGTTTGATGTTTTTGAGGTTAATTACCAAGCAAGGGACAGAATTTTCATTTGTTTCCATGGAAACAGCCAAAATGTTTTGTTTTCTAATAGACCAAAATGAAACATTTGTAGAGTAATGAAATTCTAGAGTTTCCATCGAAACACACTAGCATAGCAAAACACACCAAAATAAGTTGTATTTGACATGAATTTAGAAATTTCCATAATGTTGTATTTGGTTGGGGGATTTGGGAAGGGATTTGGAAAGGGAAAAGGAAAAGGTATGTGAAATATGTATATACCTACATTTCATCTAGTTTCACATACCTTTTCCCTTTTCCTTTTCAAATCCCTTAACCAAATGCAACGTAAATTTTTCTATAGAAAAATATGAAAGATTGTATTTACTTTATTAATATATACTATTACAATAACAGTAACATTATTATTACTAATATCTAAGTACTGATTATTATTGTTATTATTATTATTATTATTATTATTATTATTATTATTGTCTAAGTGAATTATTATACTTTATGTTGTCTGCATTTTACGCACTTTTAGAACTAATAATACACTTATGTTTAATAAAATTGAGTTATTTGACAATATTTAATATTTGTTTTGTTGATAGCAACATTGATATTTAAATTTTGCACTTGTTCTTTTATGTGAATGACCATTCAATTCTCAATATGATTTACTAATCAATTATTAGGCTTTTATACGTTTAGATAGATTTTCAATTTATGTTTCTAAAATTTTATATTTTTCTCTTTTAAAATGTTTTCGAAAAATTTCTGAAAGGTTCAGAAATGTTTATGCTTCCGTGCTAATCGAAACAACACACTGAATGAAATTTGATCCTGGTTTCCAAGTATTATTTAGGAAAATTTCATGACTGACATCCATTTGTTACCAAAATTGTAACTCTATATAAGACTATGGCAAATACAGTGAAAATAGAGGTCTGGTGGTTGCACTATGACATTTATCATCCTAGCGGTCTACAATTTTTTCTTTAATTGTGCTGCAATAGATTGTTTTTCTTTTCCGTCAGCTTTCTTGGTTTTGGTTATTTGCATTGAAAAATTAAGTTGCTCACATGCTTACAATTACATGCAAGCAGGGATCATTCAAAGTGTCCATGTCAAGTCCTGGAATCATCTATGAGCCGTACATGCCTCGTGAACCAATTTCTTTCTGGCGGAGGTTAGTCAGGTTTTTGGTAGTTCATTGGTTGCTGCTAGCTGTAATATTCTTGATCACTAATCAGCAAACCCACAGGGGAATGTGCCTTTTAAAATTATAAATAAAAAAGAAAGATTGCAGATTAAAGAAAGACGTCAAATATAGAGGGGTAAGAAAGTAGGAAGGGAGTAACATAGGGGTCTTGTCAAAAGGGATGATGGTGTGGCACTGATTATGCAGCCTCTTAAACATAAAGAACATGCAATGGACTTGTACATAAAAGTTTTGTGTTCTGCAATTTGATCCACCTACGGAGGTAGAGGGAAGTAAGAAACAAAGAAGAAGAAAAGGAGAAGAAACAAGAAGAAGAAATGGGCATCTAATCCTATTTATCAAAAAAAGAAAAAAAAAAAGAAATGGGCATCTAATCCTAATTTTGTAAATTGTTTCTGCAATGTTGATGCCTTAACAGCTAGGTTTGGGACGCAAGTGTTTTGAATGACTAGGTATGACCCTTTATGCCCAATGTAATAGGAAGAAAATATAACTATATAAGAAACAAATGTTTAGAATTTGCAAACATTACTCGAAAAACTTCATTTATTTTATCATGTGAGTATTAGGTGCATTTGTATTCATATAAGCTCACACCAAACCTCTGACCATTCACATCATATGATGATATACTAACCTAATAAACTAAAAAGCATCAAACATTCTAGTCTGAAAATAAACAACTAGACTAAAATGAGAAGCTCTGCAAGAGGAAATTGTGCAAAATGGTATTTGTACTATAAAATAATGACATGGGAGCATGGTTTTAAAAATCAGCCGGTATGTAGCAAAGTGGACAATTTGTATTGGGTTTTGATCCCTTTAGTTTGGATACACTCCGGTTTACCAAGGTGATAAAAAGTTTCAAGCGAACTGATCGGTTTACGATGAGTATCGCTTTGAACTAGAATTGATTACCGACCCATCGCAAAAGCAGTTGGGTTCATCAATTTAATATTTATTAAATTTCAATTCTAAAAAATAAAGAACTCAAATTATCATCCACGTGGGGATACTAGGTGAAGAGCCGTGAGTTACATTGTAGGAGACCCTGAAGCTTTTTTATAGCAAGTGGGAATCCTTATAGCCTTTTGTCTTACCAATGTGAGATAGAATAGATGAGGAATGATGCTTATTTTTATTATGAACAGAGGACACTCAAGTCCATTTTATGGTCGATATGGGATTTTGACCCACTTGATAAGCTGTTTAGTTTAGAACAAAAACAAACAATACTTTTAAAATGATTGGCTAACAATTCACAAATTATTCATTTAAATCTAACATTTATTAATGAAGTGTGAATTTGGAAAAGGACAGTTGCTATCATCCTTATAACCTAGTGTTGCTTAGGTGTACAAATAAATTTGTTTGTTTAAAATGGTGACAACTAATTGATGCCATGATTAAAATTTATATAATCCATGGCAAGATTAAAATAGTCCAAACATATGAATTATCGAGTTTTAGAGTGGTTGTTGATGATTTAAGGAAATTCACAACCGATACCGCATCATCCAATTCTCGGTATGTATCGTTCTACACTCCCAATACAGTTGCACCGCGATCGTCACTGCTAGTGTCTCGATTACAACAATTTAAAACCATGCATGGGAGTCTTATGCTTTAGCATAATTGAACATGCTATAGGAGTTGGAAATATTTTCACCTACATATATATGCCTAAAATTTACAAAGACCACTAATCTTGATTGAATTGATTTTATTTCATGGATCTGAGTGAGTTTTCTTATGTGTTTTGAAAACAACAAGATAATGCTTACACTTTTATCCTAATGATGAAGTTGAAGAAGAGCTATAATGCATTTTTTAATTTAAGGGACAAGTTTGTTTTGACTATTGTGTTTTGCCTGAAGTTGGTGGCACCTTCTCAAGAAATTAAATTCAGCAAATGCAAGGTGGTTTTAGCAAAGTGAGGAGCATCCTTGTTGTAGTCCTACATAAGAATTTTTTGCCACTTTGACTTCCTGTTTCTCTAGCTTGTCTGATCTTATTTTTGTCCACAATCTCTAGGATCTCACCTTCCGTGTTTTGTTCATCTTGTTTTTCATCCACTTATTTCCATTCTACATTTTTTTTTCTTCCATTAGGAAATTTGCTGCTTAAAACAAAAGAAATTCAATCTGACTAGGTGTAACCACTCCATCAATGGTGAAGCAGAGAAAAGGGAATATTTCCATGGATAAGTGATGGTGCAACCCTTGATTGGTTGGAGGCCACTTATCGGATTTGAAAGGCTAGGGTGAAACCTGTGGTCCTAAAGTCTTTTTGGTCTCATAAATGTAAGTGGCAGTTATTAGAATTGTTTAGTTAGAATTAATTACATAAATATTAGTAAGAGATATCAGTTGATTAGGTTTCCTACTTTGGTTAGGTTTGTTTTCTTCTTATAGATACTAGGGTTTTGACATTGTAGTGATTAGTTTTGGGATGAAAATATTGTGAGTTTTAGGCTGTGGCTGTTTTGAGTTCTTCTCCCTGTCTTCTCCTATCTTGTTCTATGTCAGTAAGTTTATGAGTTTGTTCTCCTCAAGTGAAGCGACTTTCTGGTTTTGTTTACTCAATTTTAATTAGCTTTCTTTCTGTTTTTGCCCTAATGGACTCCACATCCTTTGCTTTTATGTCTCATGTTTCATAATAAGATTGCTCTCTCTCTCTCTCTCTCTCTCTCTCTATCTCTCTCTCATTTATTTTAAATATTAAGTTCTTTATTAGGAATTCCACAAATTAACAGAGCTTCGGTTGAGGTCTTAAAAAGAAGAAAAAAAGGTGACATGTTATATAAGGGCTAAGAAGTACGGACAAGGACACTTGATATGGCACAAACATGACACGGACATACAGCCATGACAATTTTGAAAAAATGCAAGACATACACTTGGGGGACATGCACAAAATATATAGTTTTATATATTTATTTATCATGTCATATATATGAATATATCATTCAAAAAGATAAAAAAAGTGCAACATAATACTAATATAAATCTACATTATTTTTCTCTATCTTTGTACCCTAGGTTATTTTATTTAAAATTATAAGGGTAAATTACACTCACCTCCCATGAGGTTTGGAGAAAATACAATTAGCCTCACACTTTTGTCATAATTCAACTGATCTTCCTTTTAATAAGGCTAAAATGATCGAAACTAATGCAGATGGTAGGTAGACATTGAAATAAACAAACATAAATATACATTTTAGAAGAAAAGAGATGACAACATCATTCTTTCATTCATACAACTAACGAATTAGTTATGAAAAGGGGCCTAACTATTATGTAAATTAAAATGTCGAGGGAAACCAATGTAATTATAGGTGCGGAGCTAATTGTAATTTTTTCAAATCTCAGGCGAGGCGAGTGTAATTTACCCAAATTATAATTAATTTCATATGTGTCCAAGTGATGGACAGTGTCTATGCATGGAAGGACCAAATAAAAAATTTCTTCAATCATGCCAAAAAATTTCTTACCATTTTAAAGCATTATAACATGTGCCCTTTCGCATCAACCAAATGTAGTTTAATTAATTAATAATGGAGAAACCAATTAATTTACAATCAATCAAAACAAAACTGTGGCTACTTATTCCTAGTTTAGGCTCCAAGATGGTTTTTATGCATGTACATATCTAATGTGGCATAAGATACTTGCAGACCTTGTCTTGTGTTTACAAGCGTTTGGCTCTGAAATTGGACATGGCAAGGTGTTCTATGTAGTCTTTAAAACCCTTTTTATGTTTTGCTGAACATTTATGCTCTATTGCAATAGTATAATTGCCATGAGTCAACATTCAGATACGTATCTTGGAATACTGGAGAATTATCATAAAATCTCCAAAATTATTTTAAAATGTTTTTTATTATAGAGATATTTGTAAGTAGTGGAGACATGTATGCCAGTATCCAAGAAATTTCAGTATCCGATATAGATACAACTCCCTTGTTTAAATATCCATACTTCATAATTGATTGGTATTGTGTATAATACAACTGTTTTGATATTCTTGAGTAAATATAGTTTGTCCATCTTTGATTACTTTCACTAAACTTGAGTTGCATATCAGAGATGAACCTTAATTTTCAATTTTATACTTGCCTTACTACCTATTTGACATTTTGAGCTTATGGCAAACACAATTTGTCCTGCTGCACTGACTTGTCGTCACATGTATTAGATGGTTCACGAGGAGCGGTTGGAGAAGAACAAAGGAGGATATTATTTTAGAGGTGACACTATTACATGCTATAACTGTCAATTGCATTGACCAGTGTATCTTTTGGTTTACTCTTCTTCTTTTATTGGTTCATTGTTTAGCAGTCTATGTACTCTTTCAAAGATTTTGTAGGCTTGACTATAAATAATTACTTTAGATTCCACTTCCACTTGATGGCGTGTGACTAATAAATTGTAATGGAGATATGAGTTGTACAATAAGGTCTCAGCTTGGCAAAGGTTGACTCCTTTTTTTTTTCTTTTTTTTTTTCCTGTTTTTAGTTGGTCACACTTTCAGTTTGGCTTATTTACAGCTCAAAAGTGCTTATGCAATTAATAAACTACGGAAATCTGGATATTCAAAGCAGAAGTTCTACAAAGAAGCCTTGAATTTATACAAAGAGGTGTGCTTTTCTCCTTTCTTGAATTTTAATATGCAATTGCAGTTTTATAGATTCTTTTCATTTTCAAAATTGGTTTTTGTGTTTATTTATCCAAAAAAAAAAATTTGTGTTTGATTGTTTCTAATGGGAAATTTGACATCAATGAAGTAAATGAAAGAAATTGCCATTTATTATTTTTTGGTTTTGCTATAAGATTGCAAACTGAAACTGAGATGTTGAATATGTTATTTGACATCCTTTTGGACCTCCTCCTTCTAAAGGGATCCCATTGTTTTTTATTAGGAGTGATTGGAAAAAAGTGTGATTTGTAGTTGTGATTTTCTTTTCTTTTGGTGGACTTTTCCTCCTTTTTCTCTTCTGCACCCTTCTCTTTATTAATAAAAAACAATAAGATGATTGTCAAGGGGTGGTAATCCTGCACCTACTAAAACTTTCAATCCCTTACCGGATACTGGCTTTGGTTGTAATCAATCATATTTGATTGAGTAGAATTTTGTCTCATGTTTCGGTTATGTACTTATAAGTCAGATCCATGTAGCCTTCGACTATAAGGACTCAGATGCCGGTGTAAATTGTCAGATTTCTTCTTTGATCTGTTGTCTTAACATAGCTATGAAAAAGTTTTTATTGTGAAAGTTGTATGTTATAAAGGGAATAGATGAAGAACATAGCCTTGGAAATTTTTTTTTTTTTTTTGGGGAGCTCCAATTATGGGCTGTTCTTGCTTTAATGAAAATTACTCATATGTACATTTGCAGCATCAGGCATGTTTCAATGTAATTATGCAAATATCCGATATACTATGTCATGTTTGGCACACTTTATGAAATTGAAGTGTCTGCATAATGTAATTGAACAAGTTGTGCAATTTGGGTAGGGTTCAGTATGGTATTAGGCTTATTGGAGAATGCTCTGTTATAAAGAAGGGAATTGAGGCTGCAGCATTGTGTCCACTATTGAACTTCTTTTTGGAAGTTGGCTTGAAGACGATGAACTGGTTTAAATCATTAACATGTAATGATGTAACAATATAGTGTCGTAATAAAGTTGTGGCTTTGTGAAGATTTGGATCTTTTATTTAATGGGTTACAGTGAGAAACAATTTTGAGGAAATCATTGGTGGATAGGTAATGATATGGTTCCATTTAGATAGCAGCACATTCTGTTTTTCACTGGTGCTTGATCATCATTGCTTAGGGTTGCAATTGTTTGCAGTTGACAGATCAAGGGTCATGCAGTTACCAAACAATCTGCAAAATCGGTAGTTGGATTCATTGGTACTGCATTTGGTCCTATCTTCTTGATAGGAGATGTCTTCTCTAGCGAAATCTGTCCTGTTCTGCATGAACTTATTCTCAAATTTATTTATGAATTAAGGGTATTGTTTGGAATGCAGAGGTGGCCCCTCAGCCAAGCTCATAGGTAGCCATGGTTGTCTGATGTACAAATCATGTCTAGATACAGTGGGCCGACTTTTATCATTCTCCTTGTGTCTTTTCTGTTAAGTGTGTTTCTCTTGTCTTGGCATTGAACAATTACTGCCATATTTGGATATATATAAAAAATAAAAAAATAAAAAAGCAAAATCTTCAGTGGCATTTATGTGCTTGGAAACCAAAGGACATATAATCTACTGAGAATGATATTTTTTTTCCTTGCTCTATATTAGTTGATTTTGAATGTGTGCGACCACAGAAATTTGTTAGAATATTGTGGAGGTGTATTGAGTTATTTCCCCCACATTATTTGTCAGTTACATAGGTTCATGAGGCACCATCCCAGTAATCATTTCACCTTCGAGGTAACTATACCCGGCTGGCTAATATTGTTGTAGCGCAACACTGAAGTGCTGACATTGCAACTAGAAACATCTCTTTCTACTATGGCCAATGTCCTTATATGATGATTTGAGATGTTTATGTGCCTCTTAAAACAGCACCATCGATGACTCCACCTCCCAATCATTGAGCTTCCCGTGTAACACAATATAATCATTGGCCAAAAGACTTGGTTACCCTCTTTTTTCATATTATCACCGATAGAGGCTCCTTTATTGATCACAATCCGAGCAAGAGCAGCAAGTGATGTCTCCAGCTTCTCCTCTGCACACCACAGTTGACTCCAAAACTGCTTCTTATCACCATTCCCAACAACAAACCAAGTATGGCTCGTAAAATAATTCCATCCTATTTGGATGCCCTTCCTAAGTGCCAAGCCATATGACATAGATACCTCCATCGAGGACCATCTCCCCCACATAGCTCCATACTTTGAGGAAATCATTGGTGGATAGGTAATGATATGGTTCTATTTAGATAGCAGCACATTCTGTTTTTCACTGGTGCTTGATCATCATTGCTTAGGGTTGCAATTGTTTGCAGTTGACAGATCAAGGGTCATGCAGTTACCAAACAATCTGCAAAATCGGTAGTTGGATTCATTGGTACTGCATTTGGTCCTATCTTCTTGATAGGAGATGTCTTCTCTAGCGAAATCTGTCCTGTTCTGCATGAACTTATTCTCAAATTTGTTTATGAATTAAGGGTATTGTTTGGAATGCAGAGGCGGCCCCTCAGCCAAGCTTATAGGTAGCCATGGTTGTCTGATGTACAAATCATGTCTAGATACAGTGGGCCGACTTTTATTATTCTCCTTGTGTCTTTTCTGTTAAGTGTGTTTCTCTTGTCTTGGCATTGAACAATTACTGCCATATTTGGATATATATAAAAAATAAAAAAATAAAAAAGCAAAATCTTCAGTGGCATTTATGTGCTTTGAAACCAAAGGATATATAATCTACTGAGAATGATATTTTTTTTCCTTGCTCTATATTAGTTGATTTTGAATGTGTGCGACCACAGAAATTTGTTAGAATATTGTGGAGGTGTATTGAGTTATTTCCCCCACATTATTTGTCAGTTACATAGGTTCATGAGGCACCATCCCAGTAATCATTTCACCTTCGATGTAACTATACCCGGCTGGCTAATATTGTTGTAGCGCAACACTGAAGTGCTGACATTGCAACTAGAAACATATCTTTCTACTATGGCCAATGTCCTTATATGATGATTTGAGATGTTTATGTGCCTCTTAAAACAGCACCATCGATGACTCCACCTCCCAATCATTGAGCTTCCCATGTAACGCAATATAATCATTGGCCAAAAGACTTGGTTACCCTCTTTTTTCATATTATCACCAATAGAGGCTCCTTTATTGATCACAATCCGAGCAAGAGCAGCAAGTGATGTCTCCAGCTTCTCCTCTGCACACCACAGTTGACTCCAAAACTGCTTCTTATCACCATTCCCAACAACAAACCAAGTATGGCTCGTAAAATAATTCCATCCTATTTGGATGCCGTTCCTAAGTGCCAAGCCATATGACATAGATACCTCCACCGAGGACCATCTCCCCCACATAGCTCCATACCCTTATCATTTATTTGCATCTTGGCTGTGTTCATCAAACTGGAAATAGACATATTTTGGTTTGGCCATTCCTGTTTTGCAGATAAATGTATCTTTAATCTCCTCAAACTACAAAGTTTTTGAAGCTGTACTACTAGTAGCCTGCTTCCTTTCTCCCATCTCCCTGCCTGCCCTAATCCCTACGCTTGGTTGTCCCCAGATGTTAAAATTTATCACCTACTTCACCCACTTAAACCTACTCCACTAAACCTAACCCACTACACCCACTTAAACCTACTCCACTAAACCTAACCCACTACACCACTACCACCTCACCTACTCCACTAAACCTAACCCACTACACCACTACCACCTCCACTTCACCTACTTCTTACCTACTACACACTCACCCTCTTCTATATATAGGAATCATGAATCATTGTAATAAATACAACAAACATAAATCAATCAATAATACAATTCTCTATTTCTCTTTATACATTAAATTTCTACACCAGATAAATAAAATTTTAGATTCTGATCAGCAAATCAATTCAAATTCGGAAGCTCAGGCTCAGGTGAACCAGGCCTATAATGAGTATGTTGTATACTGTGCTAAGGGTTACCCCATCCCACCAACAAATTGCTATGCATTAAACAAGCAAATCGTTTCCAGAATTCTTTTATTGTCATTTTGTTTTTATACCATGTTCAAGTTGCATTTCTCTGCAGTAATCTCGCTGGGTATGGCCATGTTCAATTTGCATGCTATCTTGCTGCTAGTTTCCCTTTCTCCAAGATTTTTTTTTCCTTGTGCAGATAAACACCCAAATTTCAAATGGAGACAAAACATCATTGAGGAAAACAGTTACAGAAAAAATGTACTCTGTAAGCTTCTGCTTCTTATGATTGTATCTCTATTTGCTAATTCAGTTTTGCTGCGTTCTTTCTTTAGACACCTTACCAAAAATGTTACCTATTTTTTCTCCTCTCTCTGCTCTCTCTGTATGTGTGTATGTGTTTCATTCTCTTTCTTTCTTTCTGGTTCTCTAAGACAGGGCCTCAAGAATGAAATTAAACAAAGGGAATCCATGTGGAGTGCGGTTTACTGGGAACTGGTAGAACCAGTTGTGAAAATAAGAACTCTACGAGCTCGACTGGCAAGTGTTTTTTGACAAAACTCATAGAATCTGTCTTTATGTTTTGCAAGTTTATCAAAATAGAAATACTAATGTCAGGATGAAAAGATGAAAAATGAACCATTGCCCTTCCCTTGCACATGGTATATATATATATATATATGCACTTCTTTTTTCACTACAATTGGTTAGATGGTATGTGTTAACATGCCATTTGGTGAGTCACTGATATGGTCTCGTTGAAAGTTTGATTCAATTTTAGAAACATTATCTGATTGTTATTTCTCTCTCTCTCTCTCTCTCTCTCTCTCTCTCACCTTTTTGTCTTTTTATTTTCGTTTTTCTGGCAGTTGTGTGTGTTTTGGTTTTATTTTTTATTTATTATTACCTTAAAAAAGTGTCATCTGGTTTTTGTAGAAGCCCTTAAACATCAAATAATTGCAATCATTTTCTTTTGCCTTTTTTATTTTGGGGAATTCGGTCGATGCCCCCTTGTAAAAAAAACTTTTATGCATTAAGGACAAGCATATTTTTTTTTTTCTTGAAACGTCCAACGTGCATCACTATTACCAAAATATCCTCAGTGACTAATATAATATTTTAAACTTTAAAATGATATGACTTTTGATCTATTTGTTGGTTTTTAATGAAATTGATATTTTTAAAATCCTCTCATCAATATCTATTAAACAAGATCCATGTTAGCCATGAAATTCTTTTAAAAAAAAAATCCAAACTTTTATTGTCAAAATTAAGGTTACCAATAAAATTTTATTCTGTTTCACTGCAAAATTTTACTCTGATTCATAGTAAATTTTATTGTGAAATTTTAGTATTTAAATAGAGAAATACCATCGTCATCATTAAACACCATAGTTGCTTTACAAGTCGAAATATTGAATAATAAATTTATTAAAGTAATGACATGATGATTTTAACAGAGTTAATAAACAAAAGACAGATTACATATTGCCATAACAAACCAGACACTTTAAAACAGAGCATATTAGCTAATAAGACACAAGCCACATATTACCAGAGCAAACAAGAATAAAACAGATCGGCGTCGATTGTTGATAGATATATTAACAGATTATTGATAGATCTAGTGTTGTCAGTGACGAGTCCAAAACCATCGGTTATAAATCTAAGGGCTACAGAGATGGTGAGATAATCCGGTTGTGGTAGATCCGGCAAGGATAAATAGACGTAGAGTTGGGAGAACACGTGGTGATCTCCAAGATTTAATTCAAATCTATACCATATGTATCGAAGAGCAAGATTGTCCATGAAAAATTGAAAATAATTTTTTTTGTCCTTCATGAAGGAAATACCGCTTTTGAGGGGATTTTCAAATCAAAAAAGGTGGGCTGTCCCTTTCACTAAAAAGGGGCCCAACAAGGGGGTTTTGGCAAAAAAAATCCTTTCTTTTTGTGTGTGTGTGTGTGAAAAAGCATGAGGAAAACAGGGGGAGGGCAATATGTAGACAATAGATGACCAACATAGATTTGTCAAAATTCTGGGTATTGCTTTATCATCCATGTTTATGGTACAAAGGCAGTTGGGTCAGTTGGGTTTTTCTTCTATTTTCATTCTGGATTACTATTTCTGTCCCAGTCAGGGTGATTTATCATAGCTTTAAAAAAAATCTGGATTTATTATAACAAGTAGTAAAATCTTCAATGATAAATAACTTTGACCATGAGACAGCAACTACTACCATTACTGTATGCTAATAGCATACCTATTTCTTTTCCAGATCGGCGTTGATCAGAATGACCTCAACAAAACGTTTATACAGCTTACACTTGAGTTTCTGAAAGTTAGAACAGTTGGAGAGAGAAACTGTGGAACACTTTGTTGCCATTCTGTCACCAACCCTTCCGAACATTAACAAGTAGTAAAATCTTCAATGATAAATAACTTTGACCATGAGACAGCAACTACTACCATTACTGTATGCTAATAGCATACCTATTTCTTTTCCAGATCGGCGTTGATCAGAATGACCTCAACAAAACGTTTATACAGCTTACACTTGAGTTTCTGACAAAGCAGGTATACTGTTTGTAAGAAGGTTCAGTTTCTGTTGTACATGTTAGCTGCCAAAAATATTATGATGTCCTCGCATTTATGTATGTGGTTTTTGCACTTGTGGGTTCCTAAGCTTGGTCTTGAGAGTATCAATTGTGACTTCACGTGGGGGATCAGTTCAGTCGTGCAAACTTGTGAATCCTGCACCTCCATCTTGGGGTGGCATAGGATACCATCAACAGCCATTAGTTAGTTGTGCATCAACTTACTGCCTTCTAATCCTTGTTAATTCTTAATTTCAAATGGTCCAGCTGGGAGTTTTAATTGACTTAGAGTAATGCTAAGCTTCATGAAAGAAATATCATGAAAAGTTTCATGAAGATTCTCCACCCTTGGATTATACATACAATAAAACACTACAAACTAATCAAAAAGGTGGAGAATCTTCATGAAGTTTTTCATAATATTTCTTTCATGAATTCTAGCATTACTCATTGACTTATATCTCATCTTCATTTTGTCAAGTCCATATTGTCAATACTACTTGGCATGTCACGAGTCATAGACATATAACCGATGACATGTGCCTTACATGTATCAATCCTCGTAGGACACATACACAGACCGCTTGTTCGATCCTAAATGATTGAGTTTTATAGACTCACGGCATCTGAAATATGCCGAAGTCCTAGATTTTATAGTTACAAAGCTCGCCAAATTTGACATCTCCACATGAATCAAGATTATATGCTTTTGTTTGAACTTCACCCATACATTGGTCATACTGTGTGCCTCATAACCATGCTCATCTAATGCACCACATTACGGCAGTAGTCCTACTGTATGCTCTAGCACTTGTTTGCAAGTAGTTGAGCTACTCCATTACCACATATATCTTACTGCACAACTCATGAACCTGACCACAATGTTGGGCCTAGGTGTGTCGAAGTTTTTGGCATGCACTGAGGGACTTTGGGGATTTGCTGCCATTGGCTATAGATTTGTTCCGCCTTGGACTGTGCTTGTGTGGGTCTAGCTGTCTTAGACCAGTCCTATTGAGAGGGAGACCTCACCACTGGACTTTACCAGAACCAAGAGACAATCTTAAAAGCCTAATTGAATTCTAACAAAGCCTAACTACCTTCCTAAAAATATGATGTATTTCTAGAGAAGTTTGTTACAGCCACATGCTCACTTTATATATTTATAAGGTGGTACTCCCCTTAAATCATGATTAGATACGTCTCTCAGATTGTTGTCTGTACTTTGATGTCTTCACCGCAACTCTGTCTCCCCGAAGTTCCCCAACCATCCCATTTGTCTTTGGTGCTTCTAATGTGCTTTACCACTCCCCAGTGAAACTCTGACCAATCTGTCAATCACTCCACATATAAGTAAATTAAGTTCGGTTTAAAAAAGAATAAGAAAGGAATGCTAACAATGTACAAAAATTTAAACCATGATAACCTCTACCTTTCACAACAAAAGTGGTCTATACACTCAAAAGATAGAAATGGCCTATAACTCTTTAGAAATGAAGAGAATCTACAAAAGCAACAAAATAGTTAAGACTAAGCATAACTCTCCCTGAAACCTAACTATAGAAAGTAGCCACAAGAGTACTCTTGAGCCTATTGGGAGGCACATCTACTCCATGAAAAGCCCTCCTATGTCGCTCCCTCCATGAAAGCCACATCAAGCACAAAGAAGCTAGCAACCACACCTTCCACCTTGGTTTCCCAACTCAACCTCCCACTATTCAAACATAACCCTTGTGACATCTCTATGAAAGGCACAATGCAAACTGAAGAAAGTCAAAACCAACTCCCAAAAATCCCTTGCCATCTCACAAATGAATGAACAAGTGAGAGACCGTCTCCTCGTCACACTTACAACAACACCAATTCACAAAGATGTCTTCTCCTTGTAAAATTATCAATTATGAGGATCTTCTTGTGAGATGTATTCCACACAAAGGAAGCAATCTTGGACAGGGCTTCAACATACTAAATACCAGTCCAAGGAAAGTCACCGCTCTATTCCCTATTGAAGCTCCTTAAAAAGATTTCACATCAATACTCCCATTCCTATTGCCATAATAAGGAATCTTTACCCTCTCTAACGCCCCTATACAAGTAAAGAAGGTGAAGAAGGTTAGAAAGCTAATCCAATTCCCAATCTGGTAAATTTCCCAAAAGACATCGGAGCCCGATTGCAGAAATGGTCCACCATTGAGGCTTCTCTATCAACAACCAGAAGAAAGAAGGACAAAAAAGATCTCTCCCACTCCTTACCAATATACCATGTATGACACCCCAATTTCACCCTATTGCCTCTCCCCACCTTTAACCTAACTAATCTCAAGGAGTCCTCCCAAACTAATCGAATACCCTTCCAAAACCCCCTCTTATAGACATAACATAACAACCTGTACTATTGTCCCGTCACCCCAACAAAGGACTATAATTTTCCACCGCCACCCTCCTACAATAACTATCCCTATCATAAGCAAATGGCCATAATCTCTTGATCCTTAATCCCCCCTGGCTCATTGGCGTACAAACTGTGTCCTAGTCCATAAAATGGTATTTGCATTCTTCCCTGCTCCTTTCCACAAAAAATCTCACTATAATTTTTCAAGCATCTTGGCAACCAATAAATGAAAAGTTTGTAAACATAAAATAGGTCAAAAGAATCGACAACGTGGGACCCAAAAGAAAGCCAAGGTATGTAACTAGGATGGATCCAATCTTACAACTCATAATGCAAATGAAATCACTAGCTTGCAAAACATCCTCCCAATGGAACTAGCTCAAACTTTGCCAAATTAACCTTCAAATGTGAGAACACCTCAAAACATAAGAGGTCATATCAAAGATAACTCAATTGGATTGGATTTGGCACAAGGAATGGGTCCCCTTGCCTCAAGCCACTCTAACTCTAAAAATAGTTAGTAGCAGGATGACCATTTGCCAAAATATATAGTTGAGCTGTAGATATGCAAAAGGAAATCCATCCTGGCCATCTACTCCCAAAACCCATTCTTTTTAACTTGTATTATAAAATATTTTAATTCACTTGATAATAAGCCTTCTCAATATCAAACTTGCAGATCATCCTGTGGCCTGCCTTTCCATTCCTTAATCTAGAATAAAAAGGTTTATTAGCTTCAAGCACTACATCAAGAATCTGCATACCCTCCACAAATGCATTTTGAGAATTCAACACTTTTGCCAACAGTTTAAAGGCCTACCAATTAGGCTAATAGGTCTGAAATAGCTAGTGTGCTCTACCCTCATTTCTTAGGGATCGGGCAAAAGATTGCATTCAAACTCGTTTCAAAGTTCATACCCTTCACTTCCTCCTTCACTTCCTTTTTCTCCACCTCCTATCATTTCTAATCATCCGGCTTCGAAGCTTTTATCCCCTTTGAGGTCCTTTAGAGCTCTAAGAATCTTAATCTTCAGAAAAAGGTGTCTCCAATCACTCTACTCCTTCCAAGGAGATACTATCAAAATCCATGTCATTTTGCTGAGGGTGCCACCCTCCCCTCTCTTGAAGTAGACCCCCTCGTAGAAGTTTGTAGTCCCTGTCCTGATCTCCGACTCCTTAAGAGCCTTGCCATCAATACATACTCTCATATGAGATTGTTCCTTGGGTGAGCATTGGTTATCCTATGAATGACCGATCAGTGTATTTTTGTCCCCTTCCTTGATTCACTGGACAACCTTTTGCCTCCAACTATCTCTTCCATTTAATTATTCCCCCAAACTCTGCCTTCAAATCCTCTGTTTTGACCATTTCCTCCCAAGACCAACCCTAGCTTTGATCTCATCAAAGCTTGAGATCTCCTCTAACACCTTAGCCTTTTGCACCTTTAGTCTACTAAGCTCCTTGATCCATCTCTTAAGGTCTTTTTATAAGAGTTTCAGCCTTTTAGCAAGGACAAAACTTGGGTTGCCCTCTACTTGATAGCTTCTCCACAAATCAAACACTTTGTCTCAAAAACACTTCACTTGTAGCCGCATATATCTGTATAGATGTGTATATATTTTATCTGTCAATAGGTCAAAGTTTCACATATGATATATGGTGGCTCTCTATCATAAGCGTTCCATTGATTTGATTCAGGATCCAGAGTTTTTTATGCTCTTTTCTTAAATGAATGTGTTGTCTTGAAAATGCCTTGGACCTTAGTTGCATGAAGTGGGAACGGGGGCAAGGGCAAGAGGGTGTAAGAATTTTGGAGGAACTTGTATATTCAATTATGTATAATATAAAGTGTACAATCGAGTTATATAGACCTAATCTAAAAAAGGAAATAAGAATAAACCTATATTCTTACAATCAATCTAATATATTTACATAATTAACATAATATTCTCACACTTTCGCTCAAACTCAATGTGTTTTAGCAGAAAATACTAAGAGTTTGTCAAGAAGAAACTGAAAACGAGCAGTGATGTGAATCTTGGTAAAGAAGTCAATAAGTTAAAGTGCCGAAGAGACGAAAGGAAGCGAGATGGAGCCAGATTGCAAATATTAACAAACAAAGTGACAATCAATCTCAATGTGTTTCGTTCGCTCATGGAAGACAGCGTTTTGGACAACTGCGAATGTCACAGTAAAGAGAGGTCAGAGAAGATTAAGGGACACCCAAATCAAATAAGAGACAACAAAGCTAAACAATCTCAACAATGGCATAAGTCATAGTACGATACTCAGCCTCGGTAGTGGAACGTGTAACAATAGTCTGTTTCTTGCTCTTCTAAGAAATTAAGGAATCACTAAAAAACATGCAGAAGCCAAAAGTAGACTTGCAATCAATAACATCATCAGCTCAATCAGAATCAGCATAGGCCACCAAGTCCAAAAAAGTAGAGGACAGTAGTAAGCCCTAAAATATAGTACCCCAGAAATAGCGAAGAATACGAACCAAAGTAGCCCAATGTGTAGAATGAGGAACAGAAACAAACTGGCTAACCACATGAACAACATAGGCAAAATCAAGACGACTGACAGTCTTAACCCACAAGCTCTTGATACAAAGCAAGATCATCTAGAGGGACACCATCAGTTGTGTTAAACTTCACATTAAGCTTAATGGGGATATCAGAAATCTTAGTGTCAGTAAGACCGACACGGTGAATAACTTCATTTGCATACTTAGCTTGAGACAGAAAGTAGCCTTTAGGAGAAGAAGCTATCTCAATACCAAGAAAATATCGCAAGGGAGATCCTTCATTTCGAAGGTGCAAAAGAGATGTTGCTTGACTTTTGAGATAACAAAAGAGTTAGAGCCAGTGATAATTATATCATCTACATATAATAACAGGGCAATAAAACCAATAGAGGTGTGAAGGAGAAACAAAATAGAATCCTAAACACAAGGATGAAACCCACGTTGAGTGACAGCGGCTTGAAAACGATCATACTAAGCACGAGGGGATTGCTTTAAACCATACAAAGCATGCCGAAGACAACAAACTTGTCCAAAGGAATGAGGAAGGCCAGGGGGAGAACGCATGTAAACCTCCTCAGTGACATGGCTATTAAAAGAAGCATTCTTAACATCCATTTGATAGAGAGGCCAATGACGAACAACAGCAATAGAAATCAAAGTACGGACATAGCCATCTTGGTAATAGGGGCAAAGGCCTCCTTATAATCAATACCATAGCCTTGTGAAAAACCTTTACCAACCAGGTGAGCTTTGTAGCGCTCAAGAGAGCCATCAGAGTGAGTCTTGACTTTATAGACCCATTTGCAACCAATCAAATTTTTGCCAGCAGGCAACGGAACCAACTCCTAAGTAGTTGTCTTCTACAAAGCAGACAACTCATCCTTCATAGCTTGAACCCAATTACGATCCTGACAGGCCTCTTTGTAAGACTGAGGTTCTGAAAAGAGTGAATAGCAGACAAAAAGGTACAGTATGAAGGAGAAAGACATGTTTTAGTAAAATCAAGTTTGACTATTTGTTTACGGTTGCAAAGGGGATACTTACGGTTAACAAGATTAGAGTCATCAGAAGCCAATAATATACATCAATTTTAACAAATCAACATATCTATATCAATCAATAATATACATCAATTTTAACATCAAGTTTGACTATTTGTTTACGGTTGCAAAGGGGATACTTACGGTTAACAAGATTAGAGTCATCAGAAGCAGGAGGATCAGCAGCAGTGGCAGAGGCAATCGCTGGAGGGAGAACCTTGCGACGAGAATAGACTAACGAAGGAGGAGGAGGAGGAAGAAAAGAAGGAACAGACTCTTGGGGGACAATGACTCAACAGGAGGGGTGGTAGGAGGAGACGAGGGAACAAGCTTATGCGGAATAGTAGAGATGTACTCGTTGGAAAGAACCTCAGAAGGAAATGGATCAATGTGAATCAAATCCTCTTTGGAAATTGGGATTATAAGAGGAGGAAGCTGAAAGTAAGACGTTCGAGAAAAGTAACATGGTGAGAGATATAAAGGTGATGGGAAATAGGGTCATAACAGCGATAATCTTTCTGAGTAAAACTATAACCCAAAAAGACACACAAGACAGACCGAGCACTAAGTTTAGTCCTATCTTTATGGGATAAAAGGACAAAACAAGCAGACCCAAACACATGAAGGAGGGAGTAATTAGGAAGTTGAGAAAATAGAGCCTCATAAGGAGACCGACTAAAGAGAAGGGGAGTAGACATACGATTGAGAAGAAAAACAGCAGTAAGAACTACGCCACCCCAAAACAGAGCCGGAACAGAGGTAGAGAGAAGAAGAGACCTAGTTGTCTCAAGGAGATGACGGTGTTTACGCTCAGCTCGACCATTTTAGCCTGGTGTATCAGTACAAGAAGTTTGGTGAATAGTACCCAATTTGGCCAAATACTCGCAGCTTCATTTTTAAAAAAATTCCCCACCCAAGTCAGATCGTAACAATTTAATAGTAGACCCAAACTGTGTAGTGATCATAGACTGAAAAGTACGATGTATCTAGTAGAAGTCAGACTAAGGAGCCATAAGATAAACCCAAGTGTAACGGGTGCAATTATCAACAAATGATACATAGTATGCAGAACCTTTTTTGACAAGAGGAGGATCCCAGACATCAGTATGGATTAAAGTAAATGGTGTATCAAATATAGAAATATTTTTACAAAAAGGTAAAGCTATCATTTTGGCAAGTTTACACCCCCGGCACTCAGTCATTTGATTAGGATAAACTTTACCCAATATACCTGACTAAGGTAAAGACTGTAAGTGGTCATCAGACAAATGCCCTAATCTAAAATGCTACAAATAGAAAGGACTTGACAGAGAATCTAACTGAAAAGAGGAAAAGGTAGTTGGAGAGGTAGTCATAGGCAGATGCAAGCTCTCCACTACAGAGAGGTCTCCAACTCTATTGTCGGTCCTAATTTGCTGCTTGGACATCCGATCCTGCACAGAACAAATAGAAGAAGAAAAAATAACATCAAAACTAAAGATATCAAGTTGACTGATAGATAATAAACTGACAGATAACTGAGGAATATGAAGGACAGATGGAATAAAGACAGTAGACATAGCAGACGGTACGACAAACCCAACAGATATAACAGACATACCAAACCCATTTGCAGCATTAACAATAATAGGAAAGGGAGGGAGAATACAATTTTGAAGTAAGGAGAGATGGAGAGTCATATGATAAGAGACACTAGGTCAAAAATCCAGATAGACGAAGAGATACCTAAAGAAGACACAAGCAAACCTGAATAAATAGAGGAAACAGTGGAGGCAGATGGGGATGGTTGAGAGGTAGACAATATATATTGAAGTTAAGCAATCTGAGCACTCAAAGAAGTCAAGTCAGGATCAGGAGTCGAAGCAGATGTGATAGAACCAGCGGGAGGCCGAAAAGTGCTCGGAACTGGGTTTGAAATTGCTGAGAAGACGAGACAGGCAGACGTCCCTTCTTAGGACAATGATACTTCCAATGACCCCTCTGATGGCGCAAGGCACATTCATCAAAAGTCAGAGACATCGTAATAACTAGAGAGATAAGGGGTTAAAGTGTAATAAATCCAAAATAGAAAAAAAATAGCTAAACAAGGAGTCGAAGAGTAATAACAAGAAATTTGAGGGGTCAAACTATAATAAGCCAAAGCTAACACCAGATGGGCCAATATGTAATAAATATAAAAGTTACCAAGAGAACCACTAAGGACAATGCAAATGGGTCACAACTCAAACCCAAACCCAGAGAGGGAGAACTGGGTGCAAATAAAAACCAGATAGAGAGAGTTGAGCTTCAAAACAACACCAGAAATTGAATCACCAACACCAGAAATCAATCCACAAACCAGAGGAGAACTAGATAGATCGAGTTGAACCAGATGAATAGTCGACCCAGGCAGACTAGTCGAACAAGAGAGAGAGAGAGAGAGAATGACCTTCGAATTGATGAAGCAGAACCAGACGAGCAGCAAGTCGATCGCAATCAAGGGAGAAAACCACAAACAGATGTGACGAAACAACCAAATTGTTCTTCTCAAACCAAATGACCCAACCAGATAGGTTGAACAAGCCAAATGAATCAAGCGACTCAATGGGTTTGACGAACTAATGTGACAAACAAATGGGAGGAGTAGATTGGTCGAATCCTGACAAACCAGTGATGGGTTGTGAGATGGGTTGAACAAATAGAGGTCGCTTGTTCAAACTCTAATGAGTGCTACCCAACGAACCAACAGAGCAAACTCGAGCGAACCAGAGAAGCTTTGATACCATGTAAGAATTCTGAAAGAACTTGTATATTCAATTATGTATAATACAAAATGTACAACCGAGTTATATAGATCTAACCTAAAAAGGGAAATAAGAATAAACCTATATTCTTACAATCAATCTAATATATTTACATAATTAACATAATATTCTCACAGAGGGGGCTCAGGGTACGTGGAAGTGTCTAAGGTTGGGAGTGCCTAGATGAAATAAATATAAATATATTATAAGAAATATTTTTGTTGCTTAGTTGTAATACATATGTTAAATGTTATGGGCTCTACGCCAGGTAGATTGTTGAGTAGTTTTGGGGATTGCAATTATGATGCAGATTTCTAGCCAAGGACTTGATTTTATTGCACTATGACAAGCCCTCAAAATATTTATTGATGGATGGTTGCTTTGCCTTTGAATATTATGTTTTAGTTTATTGACACATTAGTAGTGAGGGTCTTGTGTTTTCTTTTTGTGTCAAGGATTTTTATATACGTATCGGTGCTGTGTATTCACTGGATTGTCATTGAAGTTTGACCAGCTAAGCTTTATCTTCTTCCTGTGTATTTTTAATTTCATGCACTAAATTATTTTATTGTGTTCCATTCATTGTTTATTATTATTTTTTATGCTTGGCATTCTGTGTGACTAGTCTGATTCAGCTTCAGTTAATTATTAAAAGGAGCAAATTCTTCGTTAGCCACAAGATTATGAGAAAGCACTTGTGTTATGTCCTTTTTATTATATCGTCAGTGGTTTTTGGTGTGTGAAAGAGTTGAAAAGAAGTGGCAATCAAAGGTTTTAATGTTTGTATTTATTAGAAAACAATTTATACTGTCTTGTTGGAAAACGTAACATATATTTCATGTAGTAAAGCACTTGTGTTATGTTCATTTTATTTTATCATCAGTGATTTTTTTGGTTGAGTGTATTTAGGATTGTTCATAAGTGGCTTTTGGAAGTCCCATGAACACAGCTGTCTCTCCTCTTTCCTCTTTGAGGATTGTAATAATTCTGTTGTTCATTACATACATACTTAACTGTTTTTTTTAAATTGGCATCATCATGTTAGATTATTTGGTATGAATTTTATCTGTTTTGAAACATTGCGAGTATATATATGTTCCTGCAGAAGTTTGAGGCATATGATTCAAAAGGTGCTGTTGTTGCTGGAGATAAAAATAAGGAGGTAGGGTATATAGAACTGTAATAATTTTCCTGGTCAATTCTGCCCTAATATTTCTTTAAAATAATTGTGACATATGCATCATAATCAATGCAACTATTCTTATTCTTAACTGTTCTTTGTATACATGTCATTTCTGATATAGGCTGAATGACTCCATTTGTTAGATACTTGGCCAATCTATAAGTTTCGGTACTTACAAATTGCTGGACAGTACAATTTAACATGAGCATAGTAGAGTCATCTTCTGCTTTTATTAGTTTCACAGGAGAACTTATTTTTGTTACATATGATCTAGTTTTATTTTGTATACAAACTGTTTTCTGAGGTTGTGCCCCTTTTGGTAATTTTTGTGATTAATATACACATTTACCTGTATAAAAAAAGAAAAAAGAAAAAAAACTAACCAATAAAATGCCAGATGAGTGGTGTGTCTTTTTTGTACCTATTATACAAATAAGGGGAGTCATCAATATTGTTCACATTGTATGGGTATTAAGCTTATGATTCTTACACAAAATTTTGAAGAGAGTGATTTGAGTTTAGATTGTCACTTCAAATAGCATTATGTTAGAAGTAGCATTAACAGTTTGTTTGGTATTTATGATTGGGAGGCTAAGAATAGAAGCTATGCTGTATGGACTCGAGTATGGGTGTCAGTTGCGTATCTAGATGTTGTACCTATCAAACATTCAATGTAAGAGTACGTGGACTCAGCAAAAATATGGCCATATTTTTATAGTTTTAATCTATTGTGTGGGATAAAACAGTCTTACATGTGACATACAATGTCAAAAAGGTATTTTACTCATTTTATAGCAATTATACAACAATATACACATATACCATATGATATATGTGTTTTATTCATGCGCTCAAGCATGCGAAGAAAGCCAGCTTCTATTATATTAGTAAAGGGCATTTAGGCTTTACTATTATAATATATAGGACTTTTCTCACTTGTTGCTTTCGAGCCGCTTTACTTGTAAGGGTGCTTGTTTTCAACACATAAATTGCTTGATGGGGCCGATGCTATAAACCTGATGTTGTCATCATAGACCGTGACAAATTCATCTAATCTAAATAAGGCGTAAGAACATCGTTCATCAGCCACATAAAGGTTGTAGGTGCATTGCCCTTACTGTAATAGGGCCGAATGGCATGTCAATCCATTCATATAACCCTTGCCTTGTCTTTAACGCAGTCTTCCAACACCTTCCCCCACTTGCACTTGGCAGTATCCCAACTAATGATAGTGTTAAATAAAAATAAATTAGAAGTGTTTGATGAAAGTATCTTCAGACACATGTCCCACAACCTTGTCCAATTGTTAGGTGTTCAATATGGATATTTGATTTATTTTGAAGAGTCCATGTAACATAGAGTATAAGCTATTAATTTAGGGATTGCAATTTTCCCTGCATTTTTTTTAATAAAAAAAAAAAAAACACTCCAAAATTTGTCTTTAGTGTGCAAAATTAAACTGACATGATTCTTAATGCACCTTAGAAGACAAATTTTGGACTTCATTTGTAAAGAATAGGAGTGGGAATAACATTTCCCATAATTTATCGACAAGACTTGGTGGAAGTTTTGTAGAGACTTGTAAATAGCCTATGGTAGGGTCCTTCAAGATATGATATAGTGAGTGGCATTTAGAGATGAATGACTGAAAAAAAAAATATTATATATTTATGTGATAAAGGACATGCATGATTGTATTATGACTATAAGAACAAACATTGGAGAAATAATGATTTCCTTCGCCATGGATTTCCCTTAATTTCTACTACAGTTTGTACTCATTGGGGGGGTGATTAGATTGGGTAATAAGGGTAACTTGATTTTATGCTTAAAACCTTGATTTTCCATATCCTTAGCCTAGTTTTATCTTTGGGTGGTTTATGAGAGTAACTCGTCACTGCTAGTGTGGTTATGGTTAAATTACACACCCACATGCAAGAATTAGTCCCTATTTGTAGGGACTAAAAGGAAAACAAAATGAATGGTTACTCATGTTGTTATTTTGCTATTAACTGGTGCAAAGGACAAGAAGGCGTATAGTGTTGGGTCAGTTTTAGGATTTATTATCACAATTTATGGAAAGGCCACTTTTTCCATATTGACCCAATTATGGATATTTTTTTGAAATGAATACTATATAAAATGCCAATGGACACTTAACACTATAAGGTATAAAATTGCTTAAACCTGTTTTGACTTTTAAGCATCCATACCATATAGTCAGCATGACCTTTGACTCTGACGTCCAGATTTTTAGGGAATGATCGATTCTATGCCATCGCATGGCTACTTTTGTCATAACTAATATTGTTTATTTCAATAATAATTAGTTTGTTTATTTTTTATACGATATATGCATGCAAGCAGTCTTTGAACCCATACCTCCTCTTCAAGGTAACAGCTCGTGGCCTCGTGGTCTGTGTTACTACTTATAGCTTGATAGAGTTACCAAATTTTCCTATGTCAGTAATTTCTCATCTTTTCTTTCAAAAGATAATTGGTGCTTCGCTTGTTTTGCATAGGTACTTGTCCGTGATATATGGGTTTTTGAGAAATCTATGTTCCACCCTGGATCCTACTGGCGTCTTTGTGGACGAGTTAAGTTCTAGCCGAGCTAATGTTTTTGCCAGTACTCAAAATCTTTTGGTGTTGATGATGACAAATATATGCTGCTCCCAGTTTTGTGAGTCAAGTAGATTGTACCTTATCTGATCATTTTGGCATTTCATTTAATTTTTTTTTATTTAAAAATTACATTTTGTATCCTGGTGTGAAGGAAATAAAAATGAATATGAACATTAAGTTCTAGCCGGGCCGGGCTTACCTTTTTTCCAGTGGTGTTGACGATGGCAAATATTTGCTGCTCCCAGTTTTGTGAGTTAGAAAAATCGTTTCTTATCTTATTATTTTGGCATTTCATTTATTTTTTTATTTAAAAATTACATTTTGTATCCTGGTGTCTAGGAAATAAAAATGAATATGAACAGGGCCTACTCTATTCCTTCTTTTATATATATATATATATATTTTGGGTGGCATGAGTGAAAGATGATGCAAGCAAAATCTACACTGGTGGTGTATTTGAATCTACTCAATTTGAGTACCAAATCCATCCAACACAGAGGTCACAATGCAACCATGGCTACCTTTCCACCCTCCTTGAAACCATACCTACTTCTCCCTGATAATGTAAGCTCTTCTTTTTTCTTATTTATTTATTTATTTAGGGTCAGAACCAAGCTCAGCTGCATTTCTGTTTGGTTGTGTTTTTGGTTTTTGGAAACAAAGATATTGAAAAGTTTGAAAGGGTTTTCATATAGTTTTTATTTTTTAACAAAACAAGTTAAAAAAAATAAAAATAAAAAAATTAATTGGTGTTTTCTCGAAAAATGGACTGGTTTTAGAAAATTTTCTCGAAAATAGTTTGTCAAAGAAAAATGAAAACACAACCTTCTAGTATGAAGGTCTTTGAAGGCTCTGTTTGGTTTATGAATTTGAAAAAAAAATTTAGAAAGGGAAAGGAAAAATGTAGGTAAAATGTTTTTTTTTTTTTCTTTTCAAATCTCTCTCCAAATCTATCAATCAAATGCCGTCTTAGTTTACCTTTTGTCAAATTTCCTAAATCTGTTATTTTTGAAGCTTTAATTTTTGAAGTTTAATTTTTGAAGTTTTCTGAGATTGTCCTTGTAGAATAGGATTAGAGCTGAGGTCTGGATATGCCAAAAGTATATAAAATCCAAATCAAAAGCAAAAGCAAAATTTAACGAAGTACAAAGTTTCCACCATTATTGCCACAAGCCTTTGAGAATCTTACAAGCAAGCATTTAGTGCTTTAAGCAAAAGTGGATAAAGAACAAAAACAAACAAATAGACTCCTTCCAAGAAAAGAAAAGAATGTCTTCTAAACAATCTCTCTTTGCTCAAACTCTACCTCTCTCTTGTTTCTCAAACACTCAAAACACACCTCATTCATTCCAATCATCAAATTCATCCAAAAGAGTAAAAACACTCCAAGAAATGGATCAAAGAGAGAACCAAATCTACAATAAGCTCCTCGATTTCGTTACAAAAAGCTTAATAGCACTAGCTCTCAAAATCACGATCTTTGGTTTAGCCGTCTGTCATTGGCTCTTCAACTCCATCATCCAAAACCTAGCAGCGCAAGCCATCAAACCTGTGAGATTGGGGCCTCCGTTGCATCACGGTTCACCACAGGTGCCTCGAGCAAATGCATTGTCGGGTTAGAGAAAGATGGTGAAGAGCTCTCACCAATGGCATAACAGAGCTAGTAATAGTATACCCCATGTAAGAAGAAGATATATTGCACCATTAATTAGCTATATTAATATGTTGGCCATCTTGGTACAACTATCATATGTATTTCACCAAATAGCTTTTTTGATTTTTTTTTTTTTTTTTTTTGTTTTTTGCTTTATTTCTTTTCAAATAATTGCAAAAAAGGGTATATAAGCATAATTTCTCCATCGAAGGACTGAAATTATCTGTTGATTAAAATTCTTACACCTTACTAGGAAATCAGAAGTCGAATATTTAATCTTCATCAGACTTTATTGTAATACAATTCATTGTAAAAAAGAGCACTTCTATTCAAACTGACTTTTGATCTAAATCCGACGGAGTTGGTAGCTATACTTGGAGTCATTATCGGCCAAGGAGCATTAATTATTCACTTATAAAAAGTCTTATACGCAAAATCAATGTATATGCGCAAAAAATATTGAATTAGTTTTGATACATTATTAATTGAATGTAACTTTTTCTATATAAGTATTGCTAAAGAAATATTTCACAATAAAACTAATAAATCTAAAAAAAATAGTTTTTCCAGTTTTAAATTATTAGATCTCAGTA